TGTTGGATAGCTATGGATTTTAGGTTTTGATTTTTAGCTAATTCCCACCTGAATGTCAAAGTTATGCCAAGTCATATGTAGATGTAATTCTCCATCTACATATGACCCATGTCTTGCTGTGACCCCTGTCTTGCTGTGGAAATTGAGGAAAAAATAGCAACAGGATTTTGGTTCCACTCCAGAACTAGAGAAACAGAAACTCAGGCCTAGAGCCCAGCAATCTAGTCTAACAACTTCCAGGGAATTGCATGGCCATTTTACCATTAGAATCACTACTCCCAGGGGCACGTGAGTTTCCCTACCCACCCCAACAGAGCCCCAGCAGCTGAACACTTCCAGAATCCAACCTTTGCCATGCTCTTGGCTGCTCTCCAAAGGTTAGGATGAGCCTCAACCATGAGATAACCTGCAGAAAAATCCCAGGTATGTGGGACCTGTGACTGAAATCTCTGATTTCAGAGCAGGAACGGGTCTCCTCCTCTTGCTTAGAGCAGGAATGGGTCTCCTCCTCTCATCTCCCAAGTTTACCAGTAGCCTAGCAGTCACACCCACAAACTGCCCCTGGTGCCATATAATCTTCTCAACAGCCTCACCCATGAGTGGATCTGCTGTATAATTGTATTCTAAATTTTAGAATTTCTGGAATGTGTGGCCGCATTTGAGGCTGCGTGACCTCTTATATTCTATACCACTGATGCACCAAGAGTAACACACAACATTTCATGGGGGTTAACTAAGATGTTAATAATCTTTTATACAAGGGCTTAATGGCTCCAGGATGAAATACAACAATATCCACACACTTTCCTCTAGAGGAAACATTATTGGACCATTGTTAACAGATTATTCAAAATGACCCATACAAAATTAAATGTTTCAATGCTTTGGGGGCATAGTTTGGGATTTGGGGTGGAAACATTCAAAATACGGAAATATGGTAGTGGGAAGGGGCAATGGTTGAGCTTTCAGTGTTTCAATATTAAATGTAATAAATTATTGTGAACAACTTTATAAAAATAAAATATTTTTTTTGGGTCATACCCAGCGATGCTCAGGGGTTACTCCTGGCTCTGCACTCAGGAATTACTTCTGGCGGTGCTTGGGGAAACCACATGGGATGCTAGGAATTGAACCCAGGTCGGCTGCATGCAAGGCAAGAGCCCTACCCACAGTGCTATCGCTCCAGCCCAAAATAAAATTTATTAAAATAAAAAATAAACAAAATAGATTTAAAAAAAGAATCATTACTCCTATCCCTTATATTGATTTCCTGGTAGCTGGTTGCCATTTTGCACTTACCCACCTTCTTATGCTGAGCATACATCCGTGTCCTATAGGCACCCAACTTCATGATGTAATATCAAAGCTGTTTTTGAAATGCTTGAAAAGGTAATTATATCCTTCATATAATTATAATATGTAATAATTTGGTGTTGATCTTTGCTATCTTCAGGTCTATTTGCAATTTTAAACATTTTAGAAAAATCTTTGGATCTAGCATATCGTTACCCTTAAATTAACTCTAAGAAAAAATACAATTTAAAATAGAACAAAGTTTGGGACTGGAGAGATAGAAGAACTGATGCAAGTTCAATCCCCTGAATCCCTCATGGCCCCTGATCACCCCATCAGGACTGATCTCTGAACACAGAGCCAGGAGTAAGCCCTGAGCATTGTCAGGTGTATCCCACCCTCCTCCCCAAAAGAACAAATTTATTATTAATCTAAAACTGTTAATGTTTGTAATCCATTATTCAAGGTACATGATCATCAACTACTTCTTTCATATCTATGAAATCTCCATAAATTCAAAAGGAACTTCATGTGTATGTGAAAATTATTCTGCAGAAGACTCACTCTGCTCCAAGCAAGGAAGAATATTTCAACAAATAATTAAAACTGCTCAAATATGTATTAAAATTTCTATTTTAATATTTATACTAGAAAGTCAAATATATAATTCATGATATATATTTACTATAAGTCTACATAGTGCTATTATATAACATCTATAATAATATATGTTTATGCCAAATATCTGGGTTCAAAGGCATTCAAATTTTAGTTCAAGTTTTTTCTTTGATCACTTTCCTATGTTTGCAATTAAAAAACCTCCAGGGATTCTTGTTCTAAAATATGCACTTCAATGCCAATATTGACATTTATATCTAAAGATTATAATTAAATACATACACACTATACATGCATAATTATATCTCAATGAGCACCTCTTACTATTGGATATTAACAACAATCCATCCAATCTCTGGAAATGTAATTATATAAATCTCAAAGAACTCTTGCCAATTTTCAGAAAGAGAAGAGCAAAATATTACAAGTTAACAATTACATGTTGAGGCCAGAACAATAGTACAGTGGGCAGGGTACTTGCCTTGCGCATGGCTGACCCAAGTTCTATCCCTGGCTTTCTACCCAAGTTCTCAAACCCCACCAGAAGTGATCCCTGAGCACTGATGGATCTGGCCCACTTCCAAAAGAAAAGAAAGACTAAAACCTTATATATTTTCAAAGTTTCCTTTTTTTCTCAGGATGGAGTGATAGCACAGCGGTAAGGCGTTTGCCTTGTGTGCAGCCAGCCCGGCCGAGCCGGGTTCAATTCCTCCGCCACTCTCGGAGAGCCCGGAAAGCGACTGAAAGTATCTCGCCTGCACGGCAAAGCCTGGCAAGTTACCCGTGACGTATTCGATATGCCAAACACAGTAACAAGAACTCTCAAAATAGAAACGTTACTGGGCCCGCTGGAGCAAAATCGATGAACAACGGGAGGAGAGACAGTGACAGTGACTTTTTTCTCATGTAGCAAGAACACAGCAATCACCTTTTACTCCCTTACCCGTGGGTAGCCAAGAAGAACCAAATTCACATACCCTATGCTGTTTCTGTTATAATTTGCTTATATCAACAAAATTGAGAACATTATGTGGAAGTACAAGGTTTGCAAATCACATGACTGATAAAACAGTATGTAGCTTACACAGCATTTGTATAGCTCCAGCTTCAGAATAACATTTAATAAGGTGAATAGACTTCTGCCCATCATAGCACTCCAACTCTCTTATTATGTTCGTTAGATTTTATTCTTGGCACCACTTATTTAAAAAGCTTTTTGCAATTATATGAGGATAGACTGTATGAATGCAAAATAAAGGTTCCTCCCCAAATAGCATGCAGTTATATGTATATTCAAGTATAAATACACATCTAGCATATAAATATAGCATATGTAAATATACGTGATCTATAGTATCTATAAGATAGCTTGATAGTAAACAAGTACTTTTTAATACTGAACACACGAACACATACAACTTTAATCACAAAGAATTTTTTTCAGAAGGTCATATTCTTTACCTTTTTATATTCTTAAGATAATTATACTGTTCTTTTAAAACATTTTTACTTTGAAATTTCAATGCCATTGTTTCAAATAAGGATTTACTTACAATATCAACCCCAAATCAATCTTCCCCGAAGGAAAGATGACCAACAGCAAACACCAAAGACAACTAGTATTTATAATTACTCATCTTTTGAACATGTTTTGACATGAATGACTCAGAAAATCTGGGTCACTGCCCACTGGTGCCACCTGGACAACGGCACCAGAGAAAATGTGCTAACTGCAGAGACAAACAATGACAGGGCAAATCGAATTCATTTTTATTTGATGTTGGCAAGGAAAGTGTTATTTTCTGATGAAGCAAGGAAGTGGTTCTTTCCTTTTATAGTCCTTATGAGTTAATAAAAAACATGCAGGCACAACAAAAAATTTGTGAAAGCTACTAGGAGAAAAAAGGACAATGATTCCCTTGGTTTTCCACTCTGATTTTTCTGTCTTCCAAATCCTCAAATTTTCTTAAAACAAAAGGAAGTTTGAATAAAAAAGAAAAAAGGAAAATAATTTGGGGGTGGAATTAAACTAAGGCTGGAATCAAATTAAAGGAGTACAAAAGTTAGCAAGCTTTCCTATAGGTAAAAATAATAAAATAACTTTCAATACAGGCATGTGCATCTCATAATATGATCAATCATAGTTGGTTAGTTCATCACTGGGGGCATTGTCCTCTACTCAGAATGCTATCTAATTGCTGTCTCTGATGGCCAGCTTTCATTTTTCCCCGAATTATTCAGAATAACCCCTTTAATACAATCACTACACAGCCAAAATCAAACGGCATGATTAGGAAATTAACAGAGTCCTTCTTATCTCTTGTATTTAGTTCCCTTTAAATGATTTTTCTACCTCTACCTGAGCTCATCCTGCAACCAGAATCAGTGCCACTTTTATAACTAAGTAGTTGTGCCATTATCTTGGCTTGTTGATCATTAACAAAGACGTTTCAGTCTGGTGCCAATTCCGTGGCATGTGCTGGATAACTTCCATTAACTGATATGTCATGTCATTATTTGTGGCCTATTAAACCGTTTTCATTTCACCTTATGGGCTCATTTAATATCCAAGCTAGATGTTTATCGAGTTACAGGCAGAATCAGATATTAGACATTTTCTGTATAATTTTAGAATGATTTCTGAATTTTCTGCAGACTAAATTGGACTATTTATATATGTAATATTAAATTTATTTTTATAATATTTATGTACATTAAATTAAGTTCCTATTTTATACTAAGGCAGTGTATCACATTTTAAAAATTATATATTTCAAAAACATTCTTTTTTCCAACTGAATTGTCATCATCGTTTGTGTTCATTTTTCAAGAAGGGCTCTTTTCCAAAAATTTGCTCTACTTGCTTTATTTTTCATAGTTTTTACATACAGAATATGCATGTTGCTAATCATACAGAATCATAAGAGGTATCATAAATGAAACCTTAGCCATTTTCAGAATGTATCTTATTATGCAAGCCATAGTTAAAAACTAACACAGACACCAATGCAGAGATGAATGCTCAAGGGCCTTCAGCTGTCAAAAGTCTACAGTGTGACAGTATAAAACGTATGTAAGCATTCACTTACCTGTTTCTGATCAACAATTATTTCGAGGTCTTCATCACTGCTTAGTTTTCCATATCCTTTTTCTTTACTTTTCTTGTGAAAGAATAATTTAAATGGTCATTTAGTTTCTTTCCATTAACAATGTTAATTTCCACTTAATACTTTTAAAGAAAATAGTCTTTACTTAGTCTTGTTCACTAGCCTAAATTCATTATTCTTTATGTAAGTTTCTCGTGGACAACAGTAAATGCTTTTTTAAAATCAGTACACAGATTAAATTATTCAATATTTCTGTTTAGTCTTTACATCCAAATTACACCTTAGTCCTTTTCTGAATATTGTTAAATTTTGTTTTCCAAGTCTGCATTTTCAGAGATATTCTTTAAATAAGAAAAACCTTCAAGAGTCCCAGAACATTCTTCTTAAAGATTAAAAATGCATTTAATAATTATTATACTATGTTTAAGAATTTAATGAGTAAAATTTTAATCCCTTATATGTTTTTAAGAAAAAGTAGCATAAAACTCAGGTATTTAATCTTATTTTAATTTTCTTTTAAATCAGACGAAAATAAGTATTCATACAAACAAACCAAATAATTTTTCAAAGATAAAATAATTTAAAAAATAAAGCTGTTTGAAAAGCCAGAAGAGTTCAGGCCATCCTTTATAATGACTTTACTGGTATTTTTGTCTCTTCAAACTTCCAATGTCCATTCTCCACATATCTCCCCATAGCAAAAATTATGACATTAGGAAAATACATAGATCATGGCAACCATTTTACTGCTATGCAACAGGAGAAGGATAGTATTTCTGAGTCTTTGAAAACTTTCCTCTAGGCTGGAGAGATAATACAGATGTAAGAAGCTTGCTTTCTATGTAGCTGACCGGAGCTCAGTTTCCAATACCACAATGGGTCCCCTGAACCCCACTAGGAGTGATCCTTGAGTGCAGAGGCAGGAGTAAGCCCTGAGCACAATCATGCGTGGCCTTCAAACAAACAAGCAACAACAACACAAGACTAAAACAAACAAAATAATCCCCAAATCAACTTTCTCCAAAAAACATATCAAAACGTGTTCTGATGGGAATATCACGAATGATGTTTTCATTTACATTTAAAATATATATATATATGTATCAGTAGAAGACCAGTAACAAAAGTAAAAGGACATAAGTTAGGACATAGCTATAGTTTGAGGTTATTATAAAAAAAAATTCATCTTTGCTTAAATTTTTAGCTATGTCAACCAAAATTAATATTTTAATCTTAATTTGGGGAATTAAGTTTTTGTTAGCATTTCCTATACCGTATTGTGATCCCAATTTCATTGGCCTTCAATGAAAATGACATAATTATTTTTACACGATCAACCACAGTTCTTGTTTCCAAACCCCACCCCTATAACACTTTAAACTGGACTCACTCATTTTCTCCCAGCAAATACACCTTCTACATTTTTTTCTGTAATAAAGAATCCTCAAGTATTAGGATACATAAATAAAATCTGAGTTCTCATTCATATATTAATGAATTTAACCACTTAGAACAGAGCAGATGGCCACCGTTTCCTTCTCTATTATTATTCCTGTCCTCATTTGAAGTTTCATTCCAGAACTGAGAAAAAACATAAAGCCCAGCAAGGTTGGTTTTAATCAAACTGACTTCCTTCCTATCACTTGCTTTTGATTCCTTTTAGTTCACTGGTTGCCACACGATACTTTGCAGCGATCCTCCAATACAAAACATTTATAAATGCCTATCTGGATATTGATCTGTATACGTACCAAGTAGCTCACTTGCATGACCCGATTTCTGCACAAAAGAACAGTAAGTAGAGATGGAATGTGTGTTCTTCCATCCATTTCACTGTCAGAAGTCCCAGAATTCTTTGCATCAGCAGCAGTAGCATCATTGCCAGACTTGCTGACCAAAGAGCTACAGACCTTGTCCAGCAACGATATTTGCAATGTATGACAGTAATTGAAGTAGCCCTGCATCAATCTCTTGACTTTGTAAATATTGTAACATTTCTGGCCAGCACAAAAAGTCATTAAAGGAACATTTCTTTTCTTCTAATTAATTTTTAATTGTGATCTAGGCACTTTTATGTTCCCTGGTTACTGGTCCAATTTAGTGTTTTTCCCCCATAAACCTCATCTAATATTAATTATACACATATTTATACTTCATCCCATACATATAGATGACTTAGTCTCTTTGTCATAAAGCTCTAAATTTTCTTTTTTTAATGCCTTGTCCTAGATACCCTCGAAACAAATCACTAATAATTGATATAACAAATTCAGTGCTCAAAATCATAACTCAAGATTGTAATTTCTGCCAATATCTAATGTCACCTTTCCAATTTAAATTCTAACCCCTTTTTGATTTAGCACTAAATTTTTCCGGGAAGTGGTTAAGTCAGGGAAAGAGAATGTATTTATAATTACTCTAAACATTGGCATTTTTCAAGAGTGTGAGGAGGTATTTTGAACTCGGATTGGGGGGAAAGTCCCTAGTGTCCAAACAGCACACGAATGTACAGAGTCAGAAACCTTACAGTTCTACTTTGGAGTTAAGCAATATTTTCTAGTTCACCCCATAGCCCCGGGGGAATTAATCCTTTTCTAAGCCATAATGGTTATTCGCTCACTTACTGCTTATTTCTAGTGCGGGTATAATCCTCTTTCAAGCACTCATCTTGCCACTCTGACTGCTGAGATCAGCCATCCCAGGCAGGGGTCTTCCTCTCTCCTCCCTCCTCCCAGCCAGGAGTCCCTGTCTTCAATCTCTGCACTGTGTCAAAACAGAAGAAGCAGCTTCATAGCTTCTATGTGGTCTCTCACATTAGTCAACGGACTGAACGGGCAGAAGCAAGCAAGCTAACCTCTCCAGAGCGCACGTGTGAGGGGGCAGGGCTGCTGTGGGAGGGGGAGCCAGAGAGTGACCACTTCTTATGCTCCTCCCACTCTTCCAGCTCCTTCTGGCTGGAGCTGTTGAGAAGGGTAGCCCCTTCCTACCCCTGCCTTGGCATGCAGCCAGATGACTTTGTGTATTGCTCTCACAAGTGAATGGAGGGCATCAGTGCAAAGGAGCAAAAAGGATGAAGTCTTGAGGGTGAAGGAAATGAGGAGAGAAAGGGGGAATACCACCTGCCAACAATGATCTCTTCTTGCGAGATTTCAGGTGCCCGGTGTTGGAAACCAAACTGCATTTTCCACTATCCCATCATATGCTGAGTCCTTTCTGGGTAGCCAGAGCAACTGTCTGGTTCTTTCTTAGTGCTGATAATTGCACTGAGTGAGATAAGTGCCTCACCCTTAGTACTATCTCTCTGGTCTAGATATGCTTTCTTAAAAATGTTGGGTCTAACTGGGAACCTCTCTCTTCTCTCTATCTCTGTGTCTGTGTCTGTCTCTATGTCTCTCTTACACACACACCATTTCTCTTTAGTCCATTTTTTTCTGTTTCATACATCTTTGATTCAGTTTTCAACAGTAGTAGAGAAAAGTGGGTTTATTCACTTGAACTATGTAAATCATTAAATTCAGAGCTGCTTAGAAAAACAATTATAGGTAACATGCAGAATGTATTATATAAGAAAATTTGGAAGGAAGAAACAACAGACAACAAAATCTAATAAGATAGAAGTGTTACAGGTAACTTAGGTCCATTGATTCCCAATAAATAGAAATCTGTGTGCAATCATAAATCTTTATCCCAGACCAGATTTATTGGGAGAAGAAGCTTGTGGAAGGATAGGAGAGCCTTATGCCAGTTTCCAAGGAAGAGAGTACAGGAGAAAATGTAATCGCTGGCTCCCAGAAGTGAGTATGGTCAGAAGTTTTAAGCTCTTTCCAGAGGGAAGCAAAAGCATCCGTTCAATATGGTTTCTCTCTTTTCTGTTGCCAGGAAATGTTGCACTCAGAGCAAGTAACTGTGTTTGGTTTGCTGACCGGTGCATGGCACCTGCTGGTCTACACATGACCTGATGATTCACCATGAATAACTGGACTCTCCTGGGGCACATGGCTCTGCAGAGAGTAACCACCAGTAAGTGACTGGTGTATGCATGAACGAGATCAACAGAATATAAGTCAATATGGGGGAGCTGCTCATTACCAGGAAGGCACAAGAGCAGGCAGTTTGCTTCAATACTGAGCCATCAGCTTCAGAGCTAACATTTCTCCTTATCCTAGTTGGAGAGCAGATCAGGGAAGAGGGCAGAAGAGAGAGAATTCCTAGGCTGACTGTGTTTTGCCATGACGCAAATTTTTGGAGGAATTTATAGATTGGGCTTCTTGACTGAGGTGACAGACCAAATCCAGTTCTCATTTCTATCTGAGACGCACTCTTTGTTCTTACTAGAATAAAATTTTATAAAGATGTAAGAGTTTTATTTGAAAGAAATTAGTGGTGTCTGGGCTTAATTAAATGGATTCTTTATTCTCATTAGAAATGGAATATATTAAGAAAATATTGAAAGAGAATACATGATTTAGTTAATTGTACAAATTATCATCAATTGCAATTTTTGCTTAACTACAGATGTCAAAATAATTGTAAAGGTTAAAGATTGCATATAAATCATTTCAAAAATTTTGTTTTTAGTTTTTATTCAATGTGTCAATGGATGATAAGCAGTAGACATGAGTTTATTAAAACATATATTAAATGAAGAAAATAGTCACAAGAAACAAAAGCCCTTGTAAAATCCTTTTTAGTCCTGTGATTATTCAATTTCTATCTTATTTTTCCTATCTTTCATCCATTCCCCTCTCTACTATCTTATATCCTGCAGTCAGCAAATATAGCTATTTTCCCAGTCTTAGAAGGTAACTTCCACATATCTGTTTTTTCCAAAAGACATTAATTTAATCTCCTCTCTTCACTGTCAGACATGAAAGGGTGACCTATGTTCATTAGCAACAGTTCTTTCCTTTATCTTCACTTTGAAACCAATCACAAAGTTTTCAATTTACTGTAACTGCATTCTTGATGGATACTGATAAATGTCTAATTGTCAAATTCTCTAGAAGTCATTTTTTTAGAGTAAATTGCATAAATCTGCTATAAATTCACTTTGTGAATCATTATAGGTGTCAAAATATATGTAAATATTACATCTTTCAGTGGTCAAGTTTGTACCAAATATTTTTTGTGTTTTTGATATTATTTATAGTAGTTTTAGCTATTCAATAATGTTGTCACCAACTGAATAGAATACCAAGAAGAGAAAGGAGGAAGAAGAGTGAAAGCTATGTTACTGAGAATATACTTGATGAATCTGTAGAGTTTTTTTGAAATTTCATCTAAATAAAGATACCTAGTTGGACATTCGGATATATACATCTATATAAAAAAAGGACTGCTGATATTAATTAAAATTGCTAGAATGAATGCACTCCTTGAATAAAGAAAATAGAATAAGAAGAGATGAAGACAAGCCTTGGAGAAGTATTACATTTAATAAATGGGACAAAGGAAAGAACACAGTGAAGAAGACTGATTCTTTTTCTATACCTAAAACAATCAGATAAAGCAAGTGATGAGAGTTCTAGATGGAATCCAGTGTCAGTGAGAGATTAAGTAAGGATGTGAACTGCAAACTTTCATTGCAGTGAGAATTTTAGAGTAATCAGGACCTTTTGAAGAGAAGAAGAAAATTAGGTTAGATTACATTAATGAGTACATTGGCAGAAAGGGAATGCAATTAGGAATAAAGGGTTTTAATTTTTCCTAGGCAAACTTGAATGAAATAGACAAAAGGAAAATTTGTTAAGATGATAAGCCATAGCTTATGCATTATATTATCCATAAGTTTATTTTTGGTTTGGGGGTCACACCTGTCAGTGCTCAGAGCTTACTCCTGACTCTGAGCTCAAGGATCACTCCTGTTAGGGCACAGAGAATCATATGAGGTGCTGGGGATCGAACCTGGGTTTGCCACATATCAGGGCGAACACTCTACCCAGTGTGCTATCTCACCAGTCCCTTAACACCAATTTAAAAAAACGGGAAAGATGAAGTGAGAATGCCAGTGAAAATACAAAGAAAGAATACTAGGAAAATTATTGATGTTAACCCCCTCCCACGCATAAGATACAGAGCATGTTTGTGGTTCAAGAAGGAACTAAAGAAGAAAGTAAAAATGATGGTGAGGAGAAATATTCCATAGGGTCAAAAATTAAGAGCAAAGTCCCCTTTAGAAAAACAATGCTGTTTCGTGTTTCAAATTCAGTATTAGGGGGAAAGAGTGATTGTACAGCAGGTAGGGAGTTTGCCTTGCACAAGGCTGACTTGGGTTTGATCCTCAGCATCCCATAGGTCTTCCCAGTATGGCAGGAGATCCCTGAGCACAGAGCCAGTAAGCCCTGAGCACCACTGCAAGTAACCCAAACAAAAATTTAGTATTGTGTTATGTTTTTATGAGGGAAAAATCCAAAAGAGCAAATACCAAATATTAAAAGTATTTTCTCTGGAGATAGAATTGTGCATGATTCGTGTGTTCTCTGTATCTCTGGAAGCATTTTTTGAAATAATAAATATCTTTTATCACAAAAAATAAACAAAATGTTATGGAGAGATGCAGAAATATTCATTTCAAGTTTATTTTGCAGAAAAATGACTGGGTTGAAGCTTATTCTTCCTTTATTATGTTTCTGGAGGAATAAAGGTTTGTAGTTTCAAAATGTAGAGACTCATGATCTAGTTATTGCTTATGTCCCTTGTGGCAAGTATAGCAGGATGGTGGAAAGAATGCTTTGTTTATTGCATTTCTCCTTGATTCTCCCTTACTATATTGACAGTACTGGGGCTGGAAGCATACAGGGGCGAAGGGACTTTCTTTGCACTCACTGACCGCATTTCTATCCCCAGCACTAGATTTGGCCCCCTGAGCACTGGCAAGGGTTACACCTGAGTACAGAGCCAAGTATAGGCCCTGAGCATCACTGAGTGTGTCTCACTTCATTCCCCCACCCCCCAGGGGGATGGAGGGAAAAAGAATTTCAGTACTTTAACATCAATTTGATCCTATGTCACATCTTTTATAAATACTCCAGAGTGGGGTCAGGTGGGGTAAGGGA